ACAGTATTCTATTGCGCACAGTAAGTCTTCAAGTCTTCAAGATAAGAATGTTACATGTTAGGTAAGACACCTATACAGTATTCTATTGCGCACAGCAAGTCTTCAATGGAAGTGATAGACATGCGCATTCACAGACATTATCAACATCATGTACCGGTAGTAGTCAAGGATTTTGATGTCTTCTTTTATCGCCAGCTTTACTCCTTTCGCCAGATCTCGTTGTGACTTCAAATGCTTCCCAGTATCCCACACCAGATACAGCTCACCGTCTATTAACCTGCACAAATCGTGACACATCATGTTATTAGAATAAAAAGAAATAGTGTTACTATGCAAACATGCTTCTATGGGAGCAGAAAATGAATGATGGCAGGCATTTTTATAAGAACTGAAGATTCTTGCAGCAAACGTTTCTATGGTGATARATGTTTCTATGGTAACAATAGAACGTTACTTATGAATGACATTACTATGGCAACTCAAGTTTCAACGACATTTTATATTATACAGGTAACAGTTACTTCAATGGCTTTCATGGTAATCGATCGTTTCCATGGTAACGTATGATGTTTCTATGGTAACGCACATACTTTGTTTCTATCAGAAGATCAGAGTTTACAGGGTGTAGGACAGTTTTACAGATCAGTTCTTGAGTAGCTGGGATAGCTGTGTGGTTTGATACGCATAAGTCAGACAGGTAGTCCAAAAACCTGAGGAAGAAAAAAACAGAAACACTCTATCTTAATGAATTCTAAAACTTAACCATAATCTTGATTATCTAGACCTCTCTCGGGCATAGCTGGGATGTCAAAAGTGGTGCGGTTTTAGTAGTGCATTCGCCTCTCCCTTCTCGAGTCTTGGGTTTGATTCGTGGACTCGGCATCACGTGAGTAGAGTTTGATTGGTCTACTCCCTTAATTTTTCTCCAGGTTCTCTGGGTTTTCTCCCTCTGAACTTAAACCCAGCACGCTAAATTTCAAATTTGATATGTGAATTAGCCATTCCCTGACTTCGATCAGCCCAGAGGTTGTTTCAGGTTATCGATAAAATTAATTCCAAGGTTTTTTTGGGACAAGTAGAATTGAGATGGACCATTACTAATTTACTAACAAATTGAAAAATTGTTACAGAACTGCTTTTAATTCTTGATTTTCATGTAGATGACATGACACTCTATTTGTGATACATGTTGAACCAAGTGGCAAAAGGYAAGTAAGTAATGCTTGGGCTTCCTATGTGAGTGTCTACAGTACCTGCATTCCTTCTTCTTGCGAACGAGACTGACAAATGTTTCAATCTCGGTCCTCGTGATATGTTTCTCTAAAAGTTTTCTGTTGTTGTGTACTAAATCTGTTATTGTATCCTCAGCAAGAATGTCGTAACCGATCTGCGCCTGCATGAAACCAAACTGTTTGGCGATGTATTCCTTTAGAATGAAACAAATACAAAGTAAAACGGTTAAAGTTGCTATTTTAACCTAAAATACACAGTGATTAAGCAGACAGCAGACTCCTAATGAAGGTTAGTGACAAGAAAAGAAAAAGTTGGAAGGAGAATGGAAAAAGATGCAAAAGAAAAGAGCGAAAAGAAAAAACACGCAAATCGCTAAAAAATCCAAGTAAATATCTGCATCTTTTAGCACTAAAACAAACAGCTGTTTTCCGTGACGGGAAGGGGTGCGGGTTGCGGTACATCCGATTGGAAAATGGCGCGGATACTCGATGTACCTCTCAGGGTTCCAGTTCTGAGATTCGGTACCTCTATGTTACAAATTAAAAAGACCACCAGAGAGTGAGCCGATACCTTTAAGGGTGCTTGTCGGGTAATAGATACCCAAGTTTATATTAACGAGCGCCAGAATGGCAGTTTTTCAGAAATTAAGGATATTTATTTAATTTATCTGACTCCTGCTACTTAGATTATAAATGATTGGTACCTTTTAGGCGTAAAAGTCGTTAGTTGCCACGCCCACCTGGAAAAGACTCGGGTACCTTTTAGGGCCGGATTATTTTCAAGATTTCCGACGAGCATCCCCGCCCTTCTATATACAGAGGTAACCCCTCCCCCGCGGGTTTTCCCCACATACCGTACCTGGTTTTTGCGGTAGGTTTGCTGGGAGTGACGTAGCACACGATAACATAATCTAAAGATGTGTCTTAAGGGAGCATTCCGCTGGTCTGCCAATTCTTCGATTTTCATTAAAGGACCGTTCCCTTTGTCGTTGAACGGCGCCTTGAGCAAATTAAAAACCTGGAACACAAACAATTGTTATGAGATGGGTTTCTCTACTCTTGACCCCAGAACCCTGCTATTCTTACTACGCATTCTCGAATGGCGCTTTGGAATCGAGATTTGATTTCCCTCATTTAAATCGAAAGATTTCACCACAGGGAGCCCATGTTCTCATTATAATCCACATACTAACAAATAAGCTGCGCTTGGGCTTCCTGAGGGTTTGAGCAGATTTCAAACGAGTGTGAGCAACCAGCTGATCTGAGAAAAAATGTTAGCCAATCAGCATCGTTACAGGATGTATTACCACAGGAAGTCCAAGGGGATCCTCATTCACACTATAATATACTGACATAAAAAAACGAGCTTGGGCTCCCTGTGTTTACAAAGGTTTTTACCTCGTGGATACGCGAGCGTAGAAACGAAATATTGTGATGTGCCTGAATAAGCAAATGTGTCACTCGCCCACTCGCTCACTCGCTTACTCACTCGTTCACTCACTCACTAAGATGTTAGCAGATCGATAATTAAACGTCTATTGGCAGTTTTCGTATCATAGTAAAAAGTGTCATCACAAGCCAAGGAATCAGTTTGGCTTACAGAATAGTCTACCTGTAAGAATATTTTATTTTGAGGGTGTTTGGTCTGAGTACATGATGTTTACCTCTTTTAGGATATTCTGTTCTCGCATCAGTTTCTGTCTGTCCCTRTTTGGATTTTGGACCTGTATGTTGAGGATGTCTTCTCCACTGCTGTCGTGTTCTGTCACGAAATACACCAAATCCATCAACAACTGCGTCACAAACCTAACAAAACAAAGAATATTATGTTTATAGAAAAGCTTAACGTTTTTTCTTAGGGAACAGAGAAAACGACATCCTACTAATCAAGGTCCCTCCATCCGCGTGAACACCTGTCATGCAAATAATGAACCTTGTCATGCACGTACAACTAATGAACCTTGTCACGCACGTATAAATAATGAACCTTGTCATGCACGTACAAATAATGAACCTTGTCACGCACAAACAAATAATGAGCCTCCGCAAACTCCGTTTACATTAATACGTTCTGTCTCGTGGCACAACTTTCCCCCTATCCCATCAGGGCTGGAACTAAACCTTTTTGCTCACTAGCAAACACTTGAATTTCAGTTTCTTAATGAAAAAATTGGTCAGATCCGGGAAATATTTACTTGCAAATTTTTGCTGCATTATATATTTTTTACAACAAGTAAAGTCAAGAAAAGCACTAGTACTTGGCTAGTTGCTAGCGCTTATTTCAAGCCCTGCCCTGGACTCGTACCGTGCCCAACCATTTATCGCGCGACTCCTCCAAATTGAATTCTTCTACTAATATACCTCACTAATTTTAAGGGGAAAACAACCAAAAAGAAAAAGTCTTCGCAAAGTGTTCTGGTAGTCGTAGTACCAATACCAACCTTCGTTCATGCTGAGTGTAGCTTCCAGTCTCCAGTTTCTTGGCAAAAGAGGCGAGTACTTTACTGGCGTCATTAGCAAAGTCCAAGTCTCGTACCTCTAGGGGCGGGACGGGCACAATGGCGAAGGCTTCTTTGTCTTCTTTGATACTCGCTGTTCCAACCTGTACACAACCACACCAATATGTAAAAAAAAAGGTTTTCAGTCAAATAAAATTATACAGCCAGGCGAGCAAGCCAGACAATTATTTTTTGGTGATAGGACGCAAAACATTCCCTTTTTTTGGACCGAAAGGATGGACCGAAAGGATTAAGGTTGACGCAAAACTAATTCATTCTCAGAAAAACCCAAATATCTTCCAAATATTGGCGACAATTTGTCATTATAGAAAAATTGTTCGTTAAAAGGTTCCAAGAATCTCGTTAATGACCTTTACAGTGTTCTCAATAGCACCCTCGGAGTCATACGATTTACCGTCACGAAAAAAATAGGGTTTCTGTCTATGACATTTTCGGAAAACACAAAGTTTTCAATAGTAAGTGCTTGTGGAATGCCATGGAAACAACTTGATTGACGTCCACCCAAACCTGCTTAGCTGCGCGTGACAGCTATTCCGTGCGTGCTACTGTGAATAACTGTACTGAACCGCTATGTACGCACGCATGAAATCTTTTTTGATCTCATATTTATATCGTGAAATTCTACGCTGCGCGCTCATRCAAGTAAAGTGCCATGCAATAGCGTGTCTGTTCGTCCTATTATATATTTTAAACGTCAAGAAGATCAAAGTACAGTACGTAAGATGCTGATGGAARGTATGGCGCACCTTGAGCATAACTGGTCTCTCTTCTCCTTTGTCAATAGGGATGGATGTAGAATGTACCCAGGTGTTTGAACAGAGATGACGCAGGCGCACGTAAGAGCATCTGAGGATAACATTATCACAACAGTTAGAAGCAGCATTAGAAGGGTATATTAAGTTCTGATTTATAGAGAAGACTGCGTATAAAAAGCCACGGTCACGGTGTTGAAGAAATACTAAGAACCAATCACAGCGCAAGAGAGCACTAGTTAGCCAATCAAAACTTTAGACCACAACACCGTCGTGGTGTCGTGTCGTGTGCGTGTTGTAAGTCAAGACCGTAGTTTCCCACTCATACTGAAAACATTCTTATGGGAAGCCATTTCAATGTTACGGCATGTCGTACCGTGTATGTGCTGTAAGACAAGACCGTAGTTTCCCACTCATACTGAAAACACTCTT